GCGGGAGCAGCATCCCTGCCTTGGGCTGGGTTATTTGGGATCAGGAGCCCATTGTGCAGTGGGCTGTGCAGGTTTTGCTCCTTGTTTCCCTGGCTCCGCTGCCCCGATGGGAGGGGAAAGGTCCAGCAGCCGCGGAAGGAGGATATTTGTTTTAGCCGTGGTATCGGGAAGAAGGCAGGAGAAGGAAATGGGAGAGAGGAGTTGTTTTTCTCACCGGTGTTTTGCCTGGCAGGCGTGTCCCACGTGCCGAGGGGAGACGATGTCCTCCTGGAAGTCAGCGAGGAAACAAAACCCTCTTCTGCTCCATGCAAATCCCAACCCACACCTGGCACCGCCTGAGCTCAGATGCAAAACGAACAGGAGCATCGCGCGATCCCCCCGCCGTGTCCCCCGCACCAGCTCGCCCTGCGCCGCTCACGGCACCGGCACAGTCCCCGCACGGGAACGTCATGAGGGTGTGCAAACAGGCGAGAGCGGTTTCGGTTTCTCCTGCAGCAAAAGTCACGTTAAGTCAAGTAAAAGTCACATAAAGTCAAGTAAAAGTCACATAACGTCAGGTAAAAACCACAGCGCTGGCACTGTGCTTGTGGCTGGCATCGCCGGGCGGGACCCAGGAGTGGGATTTGATGCTTTTCACGGTCCTGATCACCCTGGGCTACACTGGACGGAGCCCCTGCGAAGCGTCCCCCCTCCTCGGGGCTTTTCAGCAGCCGGTGATTCAACCCTCTGCAGCTCTATCAAACGTTTCCTTAAAGGCTTCGCAGCCAGCGGGACGGTGGTCGGGTGGGGAAGGGCTGCTTCCAGCTTACGAGCGCTCCGCTTCCCCGTTTTGTTTTACTTAGGGTTTTACACGGATTGGAAAGATGGGGTCCTACGGGAGAGAAGGTGCTGGGCAGACATGGGCTGTCACCGGTGGCCCAGGGGTGACTGTCACCCCATGAATGGCACTGACCCAGACCCACAGGTTTGTGTGCCACCACCATCACCTGCAACCCACTAGATCATCCCACCTCTTGCACGCTGCAAACCCCCAAATTTTGTCCTCTTCACCCCAGGCTGGTAAGGGAGATGCTTTTGGTCTCTTCTCCCAAGTAACTAGCGAGAGGACGAGAGGAAATGGCCTCAAGTTGTGCCAGGGCAGGTTTAGATCGGATATTGGGAAAAATTTCTTTACTGAAAGAGTGGCCAAGCACTGGCACAGGCTGCCCAGGGAGGTGGTGGAGTCACCATCTCTGGAAGTGTTCAAAAACGTGTAGACGTGGCACTTGGGGACATGGTTTAGTGGGCTTGGTGGTGTTGGGGTGACGGTTGGACTTGATCTTAGAGGTCTTTTTCAACCTTAATGATTCGGTGATTCTATGCTCCTGCTGGTGCACCTCACTGAGTGCTGGCAATACCCTCCCAGCCCCGACCTGCCTTAATCCATGGCCCTACTTAGGGGTCTGGCCAAAGATTAGCTGGGAACATTCCCAGCGATTAGGGTTTAATCACTTTGACATTTCACATCTTCTTAGACCTCATAGGTGAGACCCCAGCAGCCGTAAATCCCCTCAGTCTTCAAGGGAGCGACAGCTCCTACGCCACACGGGAACAAGCTTTACCCAGTTCTTGGTGTCAGATCAAGCTGCTTTGGCTAATAAATCTCCTTCTGCTGGGAAGGGAACAGCTATAAATAGTAAAAAAATAGCAGGACCGCATCATGTGTCTGCTGTAAGACTCTGTGCCCCTTTGCGTCTGGCTTCAAAGGAGCAGCCCACAATAGCTGCAGCAAAGCAAACGTTATTCCAGGTTTAATGTCTGTACATATCACCCATTAGACAAGCCTGGCTGTCGCTTAGGGACCAATTTATTTGAGCTTTAGGGTTGTTTTTTTTTTTCCTGTTCCAAGGACACTTGGCTGACAGCAGAAGCTACAAAAATTATGTTCTACATTCACATATAGAAAAGCAGGTAAATAAATACACATATACAAACACAAACAAATCATGAGGTTCAACACAGGCACCTGGTGAGAGCTAAACTGAAAATATAGGGCAACCTCTGAAATTTGGCCTTTGTTTGATTTACAGAGCCCTCGCCGCCAGCCAGGTGGGTTTGAAGCATTTCATACTGCTGTGGCTATCGCTGTGGTTTTCCTTAGAAGGTTTTAAATCCACAGCTCAGAAAATCACCCCACATCCAGGTCACCAACAGTAAATCTGCGCCCTTGGGTTCCCAGGTACCGCCGAGCCTTCAGAGCGGCCGATGTCAATCTGGGCTCTCGCAGTTGTCTGTGCTGAAGTTTCTTCTGTCCTGCTGAGACAGAAGAAAACATCTGTGAGGTCCCTTCCAAGATTGAGCTGGTGCTGTTGGTCTTCTGGATGGGTTTAGGAGGAAATTCTCCCCGAGGCAAGCTGCGGTTACACCAGGTTGCAGCAATGCCACGCACTACGGGGCATCTCCTGGCTGCATCTCCGCAGGCAAAGTAAGTCCCGCTCCCTGTGCATGCATGAACCATGCTCATGTTGGAGAAAGACAGAAGCAGCCCAAACAGCACAGGGCAAGATCCAGCAAAGTCACCCTCCACCCAGTATAAGCCAGCATGACTGCCACCCATCCAGCTCCATTGATCACCCTAAAATTACACCACTTGCCCTGACTTGCTGTTGGAAGCTCAGCCCCAGACTCGGTTCTCCTCCCTACCTGGAGGATTTTGCTGTAGGACAAGGGTGCAAATGAATCTTCCAGGTAGCGAGTGCCGAAGCCCATGATCCGGTTCACTGCCTGGTTGCAGATGCCCGCCACCTTGGCGGTGAGGTGCACCGCGAAGGCAAACTGGATCTCTTGGGGGTTGACGTCGGGTCTGCTGGCCGTCATTTCCTTGTGGACGTAGGCATCAGCCAAGTTCTTGAAGGAGCTGTAGGACATGTCTCTGAAGAACATCCGTAGCCGTGCGTCTTCCTTCACCTGGTTAAGAAGCAAGTGATCACACACGTTATGAATGACTAACTCGGTGTGTCATCCTTGCGTCGATGCCTTCACGCTAGCATTGCGGTTGAGGGAGGACAGGCAGACAGCCACGATCACACCCAGTCGGGGAATTAAAAGGTGCCATTTCCGTGATTTTACTGAGTGTTTCCCTGCACCGGGGAACTTGGTGGTGTTGCTGTATTTTACAGCACTATAGAGCTTGTCCCAAACTCACTCAACCCCATCTAGCTGACCACAGCTCTCCTCTCACCTGCCTGTCCAGCTCATCTCCCGCACTCTGGAGCAGGGCGACGATTCTCCTGATGGCTTCGTCTGCAGGGAGAGATCCCACGTTATCTCCAGCCCTTTCTCCAAGCCCCACACCCAGATGCCCCGTTCAGTCCCCAGGAAAAATTCCCTGAGCGATGTTTTTCCGCCTCTATCTCTGCAAACCCCATTTCAGCCTATTGCTAAGTGCCTTGTTATCCCGCAGCCGGCAAACACACCCTCCTGCCGTTGAATTTTCTCTCCCCAGATCAACCCCTGATGCTGAAAATCTCCCCCAAGGCTTCATATGGGCCACGTAAGCCCCTGGGGCAGGACCAAAGCAGGGTTTGGGTCCCGTGCAGGCTTTGCACGGTGACAAGTCTCGTGTTTATATGTTTTCTATACGTGCTGGTGATGAAGCACTTGCAAGGGCAACACTCACCAAGCCCGTCGGCACTGGCCGGCCGCGGCGGCTCCCCGCATCCACGCGCTCTGCTCCCCTGGCTCTCGCTGCCCTGCACGATCAGCCCGATCTCTTCCGAGACGCGTGCGTAGTAACCGTCGGGCTGCTCTGCATCTGTTGCGAGGAAAAAAAAACACGTGTTCAGAAGCGAGGGTTATTTTTTTGTCGGCCAGCGATCGAAA